AAAGAAAGAAAGAAAGAAAGAAAGAAAGAAAGAAGGAAAGAGAGCCAAAGCAAAGAATGGGGCTATCTGGAAGCGGCATAGCCACTCCTTCTCCTGCCATCCTTCATTTCTCCCTTCCTGCCCATTGGACGGGCAGACGCAGGACCCAAAATCTGTCTCAAGGTCTGACTTGATCCCTTGAAGAGGGCTTGTAAGCAAGCCCCAGCTTGCATATTCCCAAGTGTTGCACATCTCAACCCGTAGTCACTGGCAAACCCAGCCGTCAGTTTTCCCACCGGCTGATGTGCTTACTTCCTCCTAACCATGGACTCGTGGACGAAGAAACCGAGATTTGTCTCGGCTGATGCGATCCACCGAATCAAAGCAAAGCATTGGATTTCTAGGAGCGGCGAGGGTCTTCCCCCCCCCCCATGCAGGTGGGACCCAACCAGGACCTCAAGGTGAGAAGAAAGAGCTTTATTTCTTTTTTTCCTCCAAAAAGTCATTTATTGAACTCATCTTTAAACATTATTCAAAAATGAAAGAGTTAAGATTCTAGATAAAAACGGAAAGAAAAAAAAATGATGTGGTGTGAACACAACCTCCCCTCCGACTAAAAAGGAACTGTTTGATCCGTAAACATGCTCCACCACACTGAGTAACAATGCCGCCCCCCCCCCGGTGCCCCAGAAGGGGAAGGGGGCCTTCACAATCTCCCCCACCCACAGCACAGGAGGGAGGGGGGCGTCGGTTTGGCATCTTTCACTACGGCTGCCGTGGTTCTACGGCCCGCCCACCCTTCTATCTTTCCCTGCCAGGCACGGACTCCTGCAAAATCCCAGGAGACCCCCCCCTCCCCACGTCCCGCTCTTGGGAAGCTGTGTGTGTGTGTGTCTCTGAGCTCTGAAACGGGAGGAAGGCGGGATTCGCGCTTCTGCTCGCACAAGTGCAAAAAGAGACTTGCGAGGAAAGGAAGTGTACGGTATTTTTGAACTGTAGGGGGACTAACTGGCCCGGGCTAGGATGTATCCCGCCCGGCTTGGCGCGGAGACGTTTTTGTCAGCAAAGAGCTCTGGGAGGAGGAGGAGGAGGAGAAGGGCCAAAGGGAGAAAAGTAAAAAAAGCAGCCGCCCTTGCTTGGTGAGCTCCGGACGGGCGCCGTGAAGCGAGAGTGGTCAGGCCATGTTGTGTGTGACCAGGCCTTGCAGCATGATCATCAGGCGCCGGGCGGGCTTGCTCAAGTTGTTGTGAGGCTCCACCTGCAGGAACTGGAAGAGTTTCTGGCGCACCTGGTTCATCACAGAGCCCATGTGGTCACGGGTGATGGGGTCGCTGTGGTCGAGGTGCATCACCGCCTCCTCCAGGTAGCTGCGAAGAGTGGGAGGGGGAGGGGTGGAAGGAGAGAAGACAGCCCAGATTAACCAGGTCATTTCTGACTACAATATGGTCAAGGAAAGCCTGAGATCAGCGGTGAAATGCAGCCGGTTCTATCTGGTTTGGGCAAAATGCTAGCGGTGGGAGGCTCCGCCCACCCACCCGGATGTCATCACATCCCGTTTTTGACGCTTTACGCATGCGCTGACAGCTTGCGTACCGGCAGATATGGCCCCGTGAGCCACCTGTGGCAGGCGTGCTATAGGTTCGCCATCATGGGGGTATAGATTTCTGTAAAGGTAAAGGTTCCCCTCACACATATGTGTTAGCCGTTCTCGACATTTGGGGGTTGTGCTCATCTTCGTTTCAAAGCCGAAGAGCCAGTGCTGTCCGAAGACGTCTCCGTGGTCATCTGGCCGGCATGACTAAACGCCGAAGGCGCACGGAACGCTATTACCTTCCCACCAAAGGTGGTTCCTATTTTTCTACTTGCATTTTTACATGCTGTCGAATTGCTAGGTTGGCAGAAGCTGGGACAAGTAATGGGAGCTCATTCCGCTATGCCGTGCCGAGTTTCGAACTGCCGAGCTGCCGACCTTTCTGATTGACAAGCTCAGCATCTTAGTCACTGAGCCACTATGTCCCTATATACCTTTCTGTACATATCTCCAAATTTTACTCACTTGAGTTTGAGCTCTGTCCGGGAGCCTAAATCTGAAGAGAGCTGCTGAATGAGAGACAGAAGGACTGGCTGAGACAGAGGACAAGGGTCCTGTCCAAACACTTGCTGAGGATCAACTGTCTCACAGACATAGAGGACCAGATTCAAATCAGCTGCAGTGAGGGCCTGCAAGGGTGAAAAGAGGCATACAGGAGATCCAGAGGAATGCTGGGGACATTTCCGATATAAAACAGGAAAAGAAAGGAAGCTCTCGGGTGATCATTTCCCCAAATTGCAATTCCACCCACGCTCCATGATTTGAAAGCTCACATTTCTACTCTCAAAGGGCTGGTGGCATTCCTATCCCAAACAGTATGACCGGGATGGAATTCTTAAAACACCCAGATGTTCCAGCCATGAGAAGGCAAAAGAATGCTAAAGAGTTATCAAACTGTTTTGACTGACCCCGAATGCAAAAGGAGTCTGTTGCGCCAATGTGGCACCTTCACATAGATGGATATATCGGATACTAAAACATTCATGCTTATACAATGAATTATACATTATTCTGTAGGTGTGGCAGGGGTGAAATGCTGCCGGTTTGGATCGGTTCGCTTGAACCAGTAATAAAAAAAATGCTACTGGTTTGGTTGAACTGGTATTTCCGATGATCAGCTGTGATACATGATTTATATTAGCTGGAATCTGCGGATTTCCTGCTTTCTAGCTAATATAAATCATATGGCACAGCGGATCTCCCCCCTCCCCCTGCTGTTCTACTTATTGTATTTTTTGGGGTACACGCACCTTTTTCCCTCAAAAAAGAGGCTTAAAATCTGGGTGCTTCTTATACACCAAATACAGTATTTTTGGCCTCCTGAAACCCCGCCCCTTCACCAAAATGGCCGTGCATAGCCTTTAGGAAGCTTCCAGAGTGCTCCTGGGTGCTGGGGAGGGCAGAAATGAGTGAAAAAGAGGGTGCTTTTGGCTAGTTTTTGCCTCCCCCCCAGCCCCCAGAAGCATTCTATAAGCCTCCTAAAGGCTATGCATGCCCTTTTGTTTGGACAAGAAACGGGCAGAGTTTTGCGAAAAATGGGCCGTTTTGGGGAGGTCTGCAGAGTGCAAAAACTTTTTTTTTTTTAATTTGCCTCTTCAAAATCTTGGTGCGTCTTATGCTCTGAAAAATACGGTACCTTTGCATGCTCACTCGGTAGCAGGCCCTGCCCACCCGCCTGGACGTCACCATGTCCTGTTTTTGATGCTCTGTGCATGCGCAGTAGGTCCTGTGCATGCGCAAAGGTGGCGCGTGCAAACGAGCGCACGTTTGCGCTAACATTTGCAAACTGGTAGTGAAGGCAAGATGATTTCACCCCTGATGTGTGGGTACTGTATTTGTACCCGCACGCCCACACCCAAACACACACAAACTCGATAGCATACAAACACCTGCAACCTTACAGCTGGAACAGGCCACATATAATCTTCCAGATGTTGCTAAACCCCCACCCCTAGCTGCAACCTTTATTGAGGGACGCTGGGAGCTGCAGTTCAGTGGCCCTGAAGTTCCATATTCCTGCCTTGGAGAGAGGCTCCCGACAGGACACCAGGAGATGCAACACACTTTCTTGCTTTTGAAAAAAACCCTCAATGGCTTTTTCTATAGTAAGCCCGGCAACTGGTCCCCGGAAGGCCCTGCAGGAAGACCCTTCTGTGGGTAGTTGGAGAGCCTACCTGGCCTTCGAGTCAAGAAGGATGCATACCTGTTGGAAGGCTTGGTTCAGGTGTCCCTGCTGCAAAAGCTGCAGCATGTGAGCCTGCTGGGACTGGAAGTCTAGGTGGGTGGCAGGGATGGGCGTGCCTGCAGCCGAGCGCATGGCCTGCATGATGCTGGAGGTGACAGCAGCCTGCTGTTCCTTCATGGCCGTGCTCACTTCCCCCTTGATGACTCGCTGCACCTGAGTCAAGATGGACTCTTGCATGCTGGGCAAGAGGGAGGGGAAGAGAAGAAATGAGGTCTCAAAGATGCTATAGGACAAGAGGTGCAGAACACACGGGACAAAACACTTTTTTTAAGCACTCAACGCTTCTTCTTGGGTATGAGTCACGGTGCTTTGGAGAATAGCTTAACTTCTTTGTGGCAGCCCCTGAGATATTGGAACACTGCTATCATGTCTCCCCTAGTCCTTCTTTTCATCAAACTAGACATACCCAGTTCCTGTAACTGTTCTTTGTATCTTTTAGCCTCCAGTCCCCTAATCATCTTTGTTGCTCTTCTCTGCATTCTTTCTAGAGTCTCCGCATCTTTTTTTACATCGTGGTGAC